ATATATATATATATATATATATATATATATATATATAAAGCCCAGGTGCAGAACTAATAAATTATCAAGAAATGAACAGATTTGTGAATATTCCAAGAAAGCTGGACAAACTGGTTAAAATATCTGTAGAACTTTTGTCTTGAAATAGCCCCATGATACCTACAGTTTTTCTTTCAGAACAGATTATCAATTGGTGGGAAATTAATCCCAATTGTCGCACTGTTGAGCAGTTATTTGGCAGCAAACCAGCATTTATAAATAGTTTAATGTGTAAATACTGTCCTCAGTTTTAAAGTTTTCCAAGAATATGGACCTTATGAAAGATAAGGATACACAGTGAATGGAAGCTGGCTAAAATTTTTGAACATCTTCTGTTTCAAGCAAAGAGCAAGATTATAGTTACAGTATGAAAAGTGCAACATTACAGCTATAACTTTATGCACACTTATCCGGGAGTTTCATTTAAATTAAATTGATTAGATTATCTTCTAAATCAACATGAAAAGGTATGAATACATTATATTGTAAAAGTGATGTGTCATCTCTGGATAACAGACAAGGACATATTGTTAGAAGATGAAAGAATATTTACAAACAATCCTATGCATGTTGATTTATGGATAGGTTTAGGTAAAGTGTAAAGTACTTTACTGCCAAGTTAATTTACAACAGACTGCAGCCTTAATGAAGGAATGACAGAAGAACTAGAATATACAGTATATCCACTCAATATTTCCTGCAAGTATTCCATTCAAATTGTTTCTTGAAATGTGTTTCAATTTATCTTATCTTTTAAGTAATGCCATTTAGAATGTTTTGATTTTTTAAAAATATATTTTTGGATTTTTGGAAGAAATGGAACAATCAATTAAGTACAGATTGTCTGTTCTAACTATGCATGACAAAATAACTTTTAACAACTTTAGAACTGCAGCAATTACTTGTCTTCCAAAATTACTGAAGCAGAGTTTTCACACATTTTATTGCCCCAGTTTCTAGATATTTCACACAAAAATAGTTTTTGTTCCTAAACAGGATGATTATGTGCCATTAATTTGGTGTGTACCAAGATAATAACTTAAACAATAGACAGTGACACATTCAGGAGTTGTTTTTTTTGCTCAGATTCTTAACAGAATCTATATTTGACCCAAAAGCTAGATTTGTACACTGTACAGTATTAAGCCATAATGCAATTTGTTCAATTTTGCTTTAGCTTGTTAAGTAAACCCAGCATTGTAGTTCGCTTTATGGTTCTGTACAATATACAATCCAGCCATTGTGGCTTTTTCAACTAACTATAACTCAGTATAATATATGAATCAGATCATAACATACGGACCACTAAATCCTTTTCTTCTATTTACTGTGCCACTACCAATGAGCAAACAACACATTCATTTTTAAATAAAGGCAAAATACTAGTCCCTAGTATCAAACAGAGCCGGGAAAGAGGTGAGAGATTCAGCTTCTTTAGTTGGATGATGGGAGTTACAACCCAACATATCTGGAATGTTGTTTCAGATGTTCACTGAAAATACTTCTCTGTAGAATTAGTTATTTGCATTCTCATTTCAGACCAACGTCTTGGTCTTTGTAAGAACCCAAACTCACTTCAACCCTCTGTTTGCCTCCCCCCACCTATAGTTTTAATATGGCTACGTTCAAACAACACACTTACCCATGCTTAATGAAACCAGGGTTTCATCAATCAACCTTTTTTTTTTTTTGAATTCGCAACAAATTATATAGCGGTTCAGTTCGCATAGAAAGCTAGTGTAAAATATGAATGACTAGCTCGTGACTCAGAGCGTGTTGCAAACCCAGCCAACGGCTCAGCTTCTGCCACTCTTCCCACATGATTTCTCAATTGTTAACCTCATAAACCTAAAAGGGCAGCCCAGCGTGCTAACCTCGAACACCGCTCCACGGTTCCTTTCCGCAGCTTCATGCCAAGCAACTAGCGGCGGGTTTTTTCTGTCACACAGCAGGTGTGAGTGAGCGCAGGCGCACTCGGCTCTTTCTTTCTCATTCCGGTTAGCTCTACCAGCAGCAATCCAAGCTCCGTTGGAGCCGGGATTGCCATGTATTGCGCATGCGTCCGAAGTATGCTCCCTAAGCAAGATGGCGGCGGAGAGGCTGCTGAGGGACTTGCAGTGAGGGAAGGAAGGGGGCGGTGACGGCAGCAGGTAGAACTGCGGGGAGGGCAAAGGCCGGCGAAGGTCTGGTACCGACTGAAGCAAGGATCGTGCTCAGCAGCGAGGATTCCTCGATCGCTGTACTCCTCGGGAATGCGGGCTCAAGGTGGTGGGACGAGAGGTACTAGTCCCCCTCTTGCCTGCTGTCGCCCCCGCTTGTAAGCAGTGTCCCCTAGGGCCTGCCCGGCGCCCCGGATGTGTGGGCGGTCATCTCCTGGTTCCTTGGTGGGGCCGAGTCCCCCGAGCACCGGCCGCGACGGAGGCGGCGGCAGACTTCGGGGAGCTGCGGAGGCTGCGGCGCTGTTGGGTGTGGAGCGCGACGAGGTGGGCAGGTGAGTGTGTGCTCTCGGCGGCGTCCGTCTCTAGGCGGGCATACGCCTTCTCCGCGGTCACGGCGGCTGGATGTCTTTCCTTGCTCCCCCCCCCCCCCCCACTGGCCTTGGCTGCAGGCAGTCTTGGTGTATTGACTTGCCAACCAAAGCGATCCTGGCTTTTAAGGGGCGTTCCGTCTTTCAGATCCTCCCACTTTTACGGGATCGCAGACATTATAGCCCCATTGTCTGGCTGGCTTCTGGAAATCCAAGTATGGCAATCCTGCGCGATTCGGAGACAGGGCTTGACGATCTTGGTAAATACGGCGTGCTGCTTAAAATGCTGGAGTTTGATAACTGTCAACGGCCTGTTGGCTTAAGCTTTTCTAAAAAGTTAGGAGGTTGGGGGTCCATTGCCGTTTGGTAAGAAGCTCGTTTCCTGTTTGGGGGCTTCCCCTAAGCGTTTACTTGGCCACGGAGGGAAACAGGATGCTGGATCGGATAGGCTTTTGTTCCCTTCCAGGATTTTTAAGGCTTTCTTACATGCGGAAGGCTGGGTAGGGATTTTAGGAAGAACGTCTCAGAGTAAGTTCGATAGTATGGGTGAGTTGCAGACTGTGGAGTGTAACTAACAGGTGAATTACAGGTGTACACAAAGCAACACTTATTTATGAATCCTCTTGTCAAAAAATCTAGAAGTCTTATCAGTACATTTTGAAGTGTGGAATAGGCTTAATGTCTGCATGATGTGTCTTGATTTGCTACAGTCAGTAGTACTTTTAATATTTACTGAAGTTAGGATTTCTACTCTACCCTGGCTCTTAAACTTTACTGTTACTGTTATTCTCAACTCACATGGTGATGATTCCCCTTCCACCCTTCAGTCCATACATAAGTTTAATGAAGTAGCAATTTTGATTTGAGTCAGAGCCATTTCAAACACTATAGCTCCTAGATGGAACTACTAAATAACATAACATAACATAACATAACATAACATAACATAACATAACATAACATAACATAACATAACATAACATAACAATAGCTTCTTGGGGACCTGCAGTGTTTGCCTAACATGAAGATTACTAAATTGCTCCAAGAGGGTGCACACCAATCTGGTATATTCTTGGTACCTTCTGATGCTGGTGTGCACTGTTCTTTTCAGTGTATTTCTTTGTGGGAAGACTATAATTCAATAGTATAGCATGCATACTTTTTATATCAAAGGTCTCAGGTTCTGTTTTCAGCATCTTTAGTTAAAATGGGAATACAGTATCTCATTACCAGACAGAATGAACTGTATTTTGCTAGTATAAAGTAGTTTCATGGATCTCTTTATGGTAAGCAGCTTTATAAAGCTCACATGATGTGGCCAATAAAGAGAAAGCATTTTTCAGATAATGGGAGAGAAGATAATACATTTTTTGAATACACTGTCAGGAGCTGTGGATAAAGAACAATAGTTACTAGTTACCTTAACCTTGAATTTTAATCTTTATATAATTATTAGTATTGTAAAGGAACTGAGCTAACAAATATATAATCTACACATCAATGTTATATTTAGCTGATGGGAAGGTAATGAGGTAAGTTGGAATTTGTTAAATTAGTACATTGATTCACTGATCACTGAGCATCAGTGTTAGAAATATTCAGATTTTTCAAGTTTTTATGATTTTATTGAAGCAGGGTTTATGTTACTGCTAATCCTTCCATTATATATTTTGCCTACTTAGATATCACATTGTATGGAGGCAGAGGGAATCTAACTTTTATTCTTCAGGTAAGTGGATCTTTGTTGCAATATATTTGGGGAGGGTATGTTTGTGAATGTTTCTTTCCATGAGTTATTCAATGGTGACATCTGTTGCTTGGACTACTTTTATATGATACTTGCTTTGATGAGATTAGTGGTAAGTACTATTGAATCTGTAAATAATATATTGCTGTTGTGTGTAGAGTTACCATTAATATGAAAGGTGTTGAAGACTTATAATTCCCTATGGTACTTCTAAGCAATCACTATGCCACTTGGATGCAATTACTAACATGCTTTCTCAGTACTGAACCAGAGTTAAAAATCAGTTCAACTATGGCAAGATTTGTCTGATACAATGAGTATTTTGTGTGTGGAAGATAGAACAATTGATTACTTCTTTAACTGGTTTGTTGTAGGGTGAATGATAAAGGCTTTATGGCGTTTCATTATTGTAATGTTATTTTACAATACATTATTATACAATACAATATATAATACTTTTGAATAATATGAGACAGAGAAAAATTATCTCCGTATGATCTTTTCCATATTCTGTCTCCATCTTTGTGGAAGCTTTCCATAGCTAACTATAATATCTTAGATCAGTTTTTAACTGGATCTTTTCAGCTGTGAAAAGCTTTCTTTGCCATCAATTGCAGTTTCTAGATTGTATATAAGGAGTTTCCTGAAAGTATCTGTAACTGGAATGACTTTGAGATTCTACATGGCAGGCTGCACCGACTGTTGACATGCAGTGTCTTTTTACAAAAAGAGGGTAATGTGTACACTACCCTTATAAACTGACATTAGAAATGCTATATTAATAGTAGCTTTTCTTTAAAATGAAATGGCCTGTTTTCTTTAAAACTAAAATTGCTCATACCTAATCTACATTTGATCATAGTGTCATAAAAATATGTATCTACAGGTATTGGTAGCACATGGTGTTCCCTGTTTTCCTATTTGTGAATAAATGTCCCCCTCTGTGACTTCACCACCACAGATCCTATATAAATGATTGCAAAATCTTACAAGGTATTTCTCACAGCCAAACCTTGAAAAATATATTGAGCTACATAAAGACAATATTAACCTTCAGTTTTATAATAAGACTTTACTAAGTGACTTGACTCAATTCTAACAACTCAAAAATTTTAAGTGAAAGAAAATCATAAGGTCTTTTGGCATCTTGATGTCATGCTTCTGTTTCCCTTCACTCCATTTCAAAAAACTCATCCCAAGAGAATAGCTTCATAACTTCTAGAAGAATAGCTATAATGTGAAGTTTCTGGGAATGTAACTGTATTCTCAGCTTTCCCAAGTTGAACTGGCAATAATGGGAAACAAAATTTGTAGAGATATAAAGATAAAAAAGATGGGAAAGAGCTCATGCAAAGATTATAATGAATTGTTGAGAGAGAAAATTTGGAGATTTAGCAAAAGTAAGTACCTGATGTTTCTACATTTTTGGGTATTTTGTGTTTAAAAATTAAACATCTTGGTATTCTGTCACAGGTTGTTATAGTTCTTAAAGATATTTTCTCCAGTCCCATGTACATATAGGTAACATACAGAAGACTTCAGGCATAGATTATAAAATAAGGAGCTGCTTATCAGATTTTATCATGACTTTGCTTTGTTTTGAGGGATATAGTTTTGTTTGCCTTTGTCTAAAGCTGTATCTTGATCCATACACTTCTGGAGGCTTTTAGTGATTTGGTACAGTTTGGATTTGTAAGGGGCCCCCAGAGTGATACTTACAAGATACACAGAAATTAGCTGAAAGCATCTTGTGGTTTCCACAGCACTTCAGCCTACAACTTTAATGCAGCTTTTCTGAAGTTGCTGATTTGAAATGTCTGTGTGACTTGTTCAGTCATTCATGTGCTTCTGACACTTTGTTATCTGAATTATGACTTATAATTCTAGATAATTATGCTTATCTAGCTTCTGCCGAGCTTTGTGCTACATTTATTTCTGCTTCATTTCCTTTTTCACATTTCATATGAATTTTCCAGTGTTTCTTCTTCCTTTCCTCCTCTATATCCTTCCTTTTCTGCCTTCATAAATTTCCTCTGCCATCTTCCAGTTGGAAGTAGTAGAACCTGTTGTATTCATGGACTCAGCATTTCACTTTTCTGTTCAAGAGTGTTGGTTGGTCTTTTATGACTCCAGTATGATTTCAGTCTTGACAGTTATAAAATTGTTACCAGTGACACATTTCCCTGCTTTTAAAGAAATATATGAAAGTAGTATAGTTACTGTCAGTCAGAATAAAAGGACTATATGTGCTCCTTGCCAGAATGGAGAACTAACCCATCCTCTGGAGAAGTTTTGGGAGTCTGTAAGCTGCATGCATGTAAGCCGCATTATAATGACAGCCAGATTAGTGTAGTGGTTAGGGCATCAGGTTAGAAACAAGGAGACCATAAGTTCTAGTCCCGCCTAGGCACAAAGCCAGCTGGATTACCTTGGGCCAGTCACTTTCTCTCAGTCCTAGGAAGGAGGCAATAGCAAACCACTTCTGAAAAACCTTGCAGAGGAAACTGCAGGCAGTCTCCGAGAATTGGATAAGATTGAATGGATTAAAAAAAAAAAAGCTGCATGCAGATGATGGGGTAGGAAATTTAATTTCTCTGAGCATCTTCCATTTGTATACTTTGCATTGAAGCCATCAAAATGTAGTCAGATTACCATATACAGTAAGAGTAGAGTTGAATCTGATTAAAGACCTATCTGATCCACCAAATTGTAGCCTTCGTGGCACAGGACCAGGTTATCTGAGGAGCTGTCTTGTCCCAGTTATATCCATCCACCCCACTCAATCTGGCAGAAGGGGCATGTTGTGGACCCCACCAGTCAAGGAATTCCAGCTGGCGGGGTCTAAGAAGAGGGCCTTTTCTGCCATGGCCCCCGCCCTGTGGAATAGCTTACCACCTGAGCTGCAGGCTGCCCCCACTCTCCTGGCCTTCTGGAAAAGTGTAAAAACATGGCTATGCCAGATGGCCTGGGGGTCTGAAGGGGGCTCGCATTGTTGTAATTGGCTGGTGGGGTGATACTGCTCACCTCATCATCTTGAATTGTATATAGGCTTTTTATATAGAATTGTTACTAGTTATTTCAATGTGGATATTTATATTTTTATTGTTTTTATTGTTTCAGATTTTAATTGTAAGCCAGCCAGAGTCACCCTCTGGGGGAGATGGGCGGAATATAAATGTAATAAATAAATAAAAAATAAATAAATAGATACCAGTGGGTAACTTACATGTCCACTAGCTTTCTGCTGCTCATGTTTTTGGTATCAGTAGGCCTGCTATAACTGCATTATTGACAGTAATATAAATATGACTGGTAGTTCTTTATAGCTTAATTTAATTTAATTCCCTTTAACCTGAACCCCTTTAACTTAAACTTTTCTAAGTTGATTATTTTTATTATTAAAATATGGAAATACAAAAATATTAAAATACAAAGACTATAAAAAAGGAAATATGGGAATGCAAAGAAAATGGAAAATGGAAAAAAAAAAGCAAGATGGTACAAAAAAAAGACTGCTACTTTTAAATTAAAAAAGAAAATGAAAGCAGTGGTGAAAAAAGAAAAATGGATTCTATCCACCCCTTTCCTTCCATGTGTAGATCCTCAACCACAGGCCATAGTTTAAATACTTGAACTTTATATCAAATATTTTTATTTAAGTCCTAAAAACCATATTCCAGATATCTAAATCTGCCTTACTGTGTGATATACTGTATGTAAAGGAGCCATTCTTGTTTGAACTTAGTTAAACTTCTGTTATGGATACATACTGTGAAATTTGCTCCATGGTAGTATATTCTCCAATTTTAGTTTCTTAGTCTGATATTGCAGGCACGATATCTCTTTTCCAACATTGTCCTAGGTTTATTCTTGCTGTGGTCAACATGTATCTTAATAAATTGTAATATTTTTCATTTATGGCTAGTAAAAACATCTGTGGTTTCAATTCAAGTTTTATTTTTAATTTTTTTCTGGATTTTTAATTTTTGTTTTCCAGTACTTTTGAGGGTTGTTTTTTTTTTTTTTCATGACTACCACATGTGGTAAAATGTTCCTTCTTTGTTATGGCATTTCCAACATTTGTTGTTATAAGCTTTATCTGTATTGGCAATCATAGAATTATATACCATCTGTAGAACATGTTACACCAGTTTTCCCTTAAATTGTAGCTTAGAGTAAATTTTATTGATTTTTTTCCATAGTTCGCCCCATTGATGCGCCATAATTACTTCTCTCAAGTTTTGCATCCATTTTTTCATACAGTTTTTAATTTGTTCTGGCTGTGTGTCATATTTCAGCAACAGTTTATAAATCTGTCCTAGTAAATGATATTGGTTTTGTATAAGCATTTCAAATTCTGTCATGTTTTTCAAGCCCCTCCTTCCTTTTTGAGATTTTTATTTTTACAGTTACTTGTAAATACATTAACTGTGGTAAATTCTTTCATTGGGCAATTCCTTAATCTATTCTCTGAATTCTGATATATCATATTGGCATATGTAATTAAATCTTTTTTATCATAATTGCCCTTAGAATAAAAAGCATTTGATAGTGAAGCTAATGGTGAAATTGCCTGACTTATTCTTGCTTTTAAGAGATTCCAGATTTTTAGTAGGCTTTGTCTTATTATATATCCTTTCAAAGTCTTCTCTTTTGTTTGAACCATATACACCTGTGAAGTCCATTAACTAGATCTGCTCCTTCTGTTATTGGTATTCTACTGTTTGGAGATCTTACCCATTCTGCTATCCATGATAGGCAGCTTGCTCTGTAGTACAATTCCTTTCCTACTCACCCCTAATTAGATCACTTAGAAACAAGTTGAAAAGCATGGGTTTCAATAATATTCTTGGAGAAGCCTCTATTTATATCTGTTCTTTAACCAGTTTACAATGATTTTAGCTGAAAGGCTGAAAATAATTTTGCAAGAATTTATTCATGAGGATCAATGTGGGATTTTACCTAAAAGACAGTTGAGGGAT